CCCTTCTTCCTTTTAATTACAGAATATTTTGAGTTTTAGCAAGGAGGGCATAGAGTGCTCAACTGGAGATTACATTTACTAGCCTCCCTTGCAACTAGAAAGAACCAATAGGGTGAGAGTGGAAGTATGAGTACAACTTCTGATCACATTCATAGAAACAAAAGCTCCTTGCCCTCTACTTCCTCATTCCTCCTTCTCATAGGGATTTTGAGCCAGTTCCAATCATACAGAAGAGAACTAAACTCTTTACGATGGAAGAGCAGTGATGACTACCATGGATCAAAGCTGTCTGTCTATCTTGGACTACTTGCTAACCTTCAGTCTTTTACAAGAGAAAGAAACTTACACCTTCTTTGAGCAGTTGTATTTTGGGTCTCTTTCCAATAGCAAGTCAACCTGTACTTTAACATAGCTTCTATTTGCCGAGGCCCTTTAAAGTGGCAGGATCAATCATAAGAGCTTTATAAACTGTGATTAGTCATTACCACAACCTTGAAGGGTAACACACCTCCATTTTATAAATTAGGAAATTAAGGCTCCAAGAAGTCATACAACTAAAATGTTAAAACCAGAATTTAACTAAAAAATAGTGTTAATTCCAAGGTTATACTCTTTTCACTATATCAGGTTGCTGCTCCTCCTGTTGAAACTTGTAAAGACTACATATTTTTATCTTCTTAAAGAATTGCTTTGCTATTCTATACTTTTCCTTTTCAAAAAGATAAACACGATAGAGTCTCAATGATAGTGCAAATATAGGAAGAAACAGCAGATACAGCTAATTCAAGAAGAGATCTCAGGGTCACTGGGAAACTTATGACACAAAAATACAGAACTACATGAACGATGATGACTCTCTAGCACACTGTCTCCTTTGGGTTTTAAACTGTAAACACTAAAGAGAAAAACCTCGTAGAGAAAAGGACCTTCCAGTATTCAGAATATCAGTTCTTTTAAATGAAAGTCCAACACAGACCCCTCTAAATGACACTTTGAATGGTATAAAGTCAGATTCCGCTGCAATTAGTTTGCTCAGCGTTCAACTAACCTGTAAAATTCTCTTATATAGAAGGTTAAAAAAAAAATGAAATGCAGTCAAATTCTAACAAATAATTCGAAAACTACTATAATTTGCTATTAAACTTCAAGGATGATTTTGAGACTATCTGGGTACATACAAGGTAAGAAACTTAGAAAGAAAATTTTTCTTCTCTTCTACTTCCAACTAGAAGGTACAATCAACCTTTCAGAAGCATCTGAAAGATGAGCTGTGACCTAACAGTCAACCAAAGGAATTTAATAATAGACAGATGTTATCTCTCTTTAAAAGGCTAGCTGCATATTTTAGATATAGCACTAGTATCATTGCTGAAATTTTAAAAAGTTTGATACTGTGTTTTAGGAATAATTTCAAACCTAGAGTTTAGTACTTAATCATATTGCTAAACTCACCAAAGAAAGATGTTCAGGATCTTCCCATTTGTTTTCATAACACATAACTGTTTGTGGTATGATAGGAAATTCTTCCAGGTTGAAGTCTTCATTGGTTTGTACTCCTTTTGTACACTGGCATGTAAAATCACTCTGGCATGCAGCTATCATGAAAATTATAAAAGAATTTTTCTAATTGTATTGAAAATTGCTAAGATATATGGAATTCAACTGGTATATATATTTACCATCCAAATCAGATAATGCATGGTTTGCTTAGCTCCATGACTACTCGCTATTAGTATTTTAATTTCTAGGATTTACTGGCAATTATGTAATTTGAGGACAGTTCTTACAGGTAAATCATATTATGCTTTTACAAAGGTTTTTAACTTTTTGTAATTCGAAAAAGGAAATTATACTTTTGTTTAAAGATATGAATAATAATAACAAAGTATAATACTCCAGAAAGTAAAAAAAAGCAAAAAAAATAGATGAACTATAATTAGTAAAATGTGTAACTGTTAAAGCTAGGTGATATAAGTAAAGGTTCATTATACTATAATCTCTAGTTCAGGGTATGCTTATATATTTTCATAAAAGTTTAAAAATATATACTAAGAAAACTTCTAAGAAATTATGTAAAACATAATTTTAATGACCTCACGGGAAAAACCTGAGAAAGCTGAAAGGATTCTGAAAACTATTATATATTAAATAGAAACTTAAATTCATTTCAATGACGTTCTTTCTCCTTTGCTTCCTTCTACAGCAGAATTCATTTTGTTATGAATAGGTAATAGCTACTATACCATTTTTTCTTGATATAAGTTCTTTTTCTTTCTTTGGAGAAGACCTTGGTAGACGATTAGAATATATATTTTTTATATCCAGTTCTCTCTCCTTTTCCTGGAAAAACAAAAAACAAACAAACAAAAAAATCCCAGTACAATTAAGGGTGTGGAATCTCAGTTTAAAACAAAATAAAAATCCTCACTTTGTCAATTGGTATTTCACTTATCAACCTGAGATATACATATTTCAGCTTCCCTTTGTAACTACCAAACTATAGAAAGAACTATCCCTCAGATACTTAGGTTAGGGTAGAGCAACAATTCTCCCTATGAAGTCCAATCTATACTGGTAGTCAAAAAATGAGAGAAAATAAGACAAAATTCATTTTCTACCCATTCCTGACAGGGCTAGTATTGTCCTAAACTGTCTTCCAGGCTTAATCACAGAGAGAAATTAGGCAGCATCTCTCAAATGTAGGTTATGAATTATTAACAAGTTAAAAATTAGACCTTTTTAGAAACACAGTGTTCTTGACCATTTGGGGGGTATATCCTTCTCTGAGAATTAACAGTAAATTCTATTTTAGATAATGCTAAAACACTAAATTTTGCACAAAATTTCAACCCATCAATGACCCCAGGACAGAATTAAGAACATCTGCTTTAACAAAATTAACTAATTTGAACGCTTCCTCTAAGCACTGTGAAAATAAAGAGCATTATTTAAAATAAATTTAAAAATAATTTGAGAAAGAACACTGGATTTTCCAACCAGGCAATACAGAAAAACTCTAGCTTCTCTATCATTCCTATTAGTGTATTCAATGTGTCACTTTTGACACGAGTTATAGTGATTATATTAACAAACCTTTCTTTGTAAGTACCAAAGATATTAGAATTATGTAAATGACACGGAACCATTTACAAATATGAAAGATAACAGTTATGAAATATAGTTTTCATCTAATATATATTACAAAGAGAATTAATGCAATTTAAAATAAAGCGCTTACCTTTAATTTGTGATATAGTTGTTGTACCTCCTTTTGAAGAACTTTATTTTCATCATGAGCCTCATATGCCCTTTTCCTTTCAGCAAGCAACTGTCGTTGGAAACTGTTAGTACTCAGTTCAAGGTTTTTCGATAGTTCCTATGATATATGCACAAACACGTTTAAAAAATAGTACTTAAAAATAATTTGACAGAAAACATTGCGCTTAGCATCAAAGTGACTTTTTTAGTAGTACTACTGTACAAGACATACAAACCTGACTGGGATTACTATTAACAAACATAAAATAAACTGGGAAATAGACTTACCAACAATTTATGGCAATAAATGCATATATTGAGAAATTAAAAAGGTCTTAACCTAATGTTATACCTCAAAGAACTAGAAAAAGACCAAATTAAGCCCAAAGTTAGCAAAAGGAAGGAAATAATAAAGATCAAAGTGAAAATAAATGAAAGAGACCAGAAAAATAGAAAGTATCAACAAAACTAAGGGCTGGCTCTTTGAAAAGATAAACAAAACTGACAAATCATTAGCTAGACTAAGAAAAATAGATTACTCAAATAAAATGGAAGAGAAATTAAAACTGATTACCATAGAAATTCATAAAACCATGAGACTGTGAACAATAAATTACATAACAGGTGAAATGGATACATTTCTAGAAACACCAACCTACTAAGACTGACTAGGGAAGAAAAAGAAAAACTGAACAGAATAGTAACAAGTAAAGAGATTTAATCAGTAATTGAAAAACTTTCAACATAGAAAATTTCCAGTACCAGTTGGCTTCACCACAGAGTTCTACCAAACTTTTAAAGAATTAACACCAATCCTCTTCAAACCCTTTCAAAATATCGAGGAGGAGGGAACACTTCCGAACTCATTCTACAAAACCAGCATTACCTTGATACCAAAACCAGATAAAGATACCATAAGAAAAATATAGATGTCAAAGTTCTCAACAAAGCATTAGCAAAATGAATTCAAGAACACATAAAAAGAATTATACATGATGACCAAGTGGGATTTCTCTATGGGATGTAAGAATGGTTCAACATATGTGAATCAATAAATGCATCAGTAAAATTAAAGATAAAAGGATGATGTCCAGTCGAGATGGCAGAGTAGGTAAACACTGTGCTCACCTCCCACAATCACATCAAAATTACAACTAAATTATACAACCATCACTGAGGACCACCTGAAGACTAGCTAAATTGAAGGCCTATAACTAAGAATATAAAAAAGTCAGGACAAGAACTGGCAGGAGGGGCAGAAGCACAAATGGGTAGGTCCTGCACCCACACTGTGGCAATTAAGAATCAAGAGGGATATATCAGCTACAGAGGTACCCCATATAAAGTGAAGAGTCTCAGCCTCACGACAGGCTCCATAGCCTGGGGCACCAGTGCCAGGAAGAGAAGTCCCCATAACATCTGGCTGTGTACACCAGTGGGGATTGTATTCAAGTGAGATGAAGGGTTGCTGGCGTCATCTGTGGAGCTAGTTGGGTGGTGTTTTCATGTGGTCTCAATCCAGCCACCTTTGTGTTGAAAGCCCATGCATGAACTCACTTGCTCACAAATTTACTCGCTCTGGGCTCCAGCACAAGGGCAACAGCTAGAAAAGCACCAGGAACATAGAGAAACTGAATTGACCAGCTTCAGGATGAGGACTGGGGGATCAGGGATCTGGGCAGCTCTCTCCAGGGATGGAAGTGCAGTGCAAGTGCCACTGTTCCTTTGTTCAGTGTCTCTCCAAACCCAGCCAGCAGGTGCAGGTGGGAGCCAAATCTGTGCTCTTCATTAATCTGGCTAACACCATTCACTCTGCCCTGGTGATTCTGAGAACCCACCCAACTTATACGCCTGGCCCAAATCTCTCTCCCAGTGGCTTTTCCACACCAGTGGCCTGCCTCAATCATGCTGCAGAATTTCCTAAAATCTACCCAGTATCTACAAAGCCCATACAAGCAGCGTCCCCTGTAGCTCTTGCTAAGTGGTCCCAAGCCCAGCACAGTGGCGACCAGTCTCAACTTACATTGTAACTCCCGTAAGGTGGCTCCAGGTCTGACATAAGCTGTATTCAGTGTTGACCTGGAACATAGCTTCAACTGAGCAGCCAAAAGCCCAGCAAAAGTAGCAGCTGAATTCAGATCACAGTGATGCCCACCAATGGATCCCAACCCAGCACAAGCAGCAGCCAGCCTTGGTTCACAACACAGCCTCTTGCAAGCACCTCCAAGCCCAGTACATGTGGCAACCAAACACAGATCACTCTGTAGCTACCATGAGGTGACCCCAAGCCAGGCGTAAATGGTGGCTGACCTTTGCCTGCAATGAAGCCCTTCCCAGAAAGCTCCAGAACCAATACAAAAGGTGGCTGGATTCAGACCGCAGCAAACCACCACTTAACCAGCTCCATAAATGACACATTCAAAGGGCAGACTTGGCTGGTACCAGAGCCCCACTAAAGTTACTCCCAACTACATGCGGTCAGAACCTGCACAACAGATTGTCCACTGTAGTCACAGCCAGATCTCACAGAAAGTCAGCCTGAAATTCAATTGCATTCACTGACGTGCCATCAGCAATCAAGGCTCAACTACACCAAGAGGGCACACACGACTCACACAAAGAATACCCTAGAAGCACTTGGCTCAGGTAAATGTGGAGACTGTGACATGGGGCCTCAGAGGACACCTTCTACATAAGACCACTCAGCCAAGATTGGGAGACATAAGAGATCTACCTAATACAAACAAACAAACACACAGGGAGGCAGCCAAAATGAGGAGATAAAGAAACATGTCCTAAATGAAAAAAACAGAAAAAGAAATGAAATGGACACAATCTATCAGATACAAAATTCAAAATACTGGTTATAAGGATGCTCAATAAATTTAGGAGAAGAATAGATGAACTTAGAATTTCAATAAATAAAAACCATTAAAAAAAGTCAGAAATGAAGAATACAAGAACTGATATTAGAGGAAATTGACAGTAGATTAAAGTGGAGGATTAAATCAGTAATCTGAAAGACATGTTAGTGGAAAATATCCCATTGAAACAGCAAAAAGAAAAAAGAATTTAAAGAATTTTAAAAAATGAGGATAGTTTAAGGGATCTCTGAAACAACATTAAGTGTACCAACATTTGGATCCTAGGAGTATCAGAAGGAGAAGAGAGAAAGAGAGAGAGCGCGCGCAAGGGATTGAAAACGTATTTGAAAAAGTGATGGAAAACTTTCCTAACCTGGTAAAGGACATAGACATACAAGTCCAGGAAATGCAGAGTCCCAAACGAGATGAACCCAAAGATGTGCACACTAAGACACATCATAATTAAAATGCCAAAGGTTAAAGACAGAGATAAAATATTAAAAGTTAACAAGAGAAAAGCAGTTAGTTACCTACAAGGGAGTCCCATAAGACTATCAGCAGATTTTTCTTGTGTCCTCTCTCTTTCCTGATGAGTCTGGTCAGAAGGGATTAACACAACCAAGATTACTCAGACCAACAAAACTATAATTTAGAATTGAAGGAGAGACAAGGAGTTTTTCAGACAAGAAAAAGCTGAAGGAGCTCACCACCACTAAACCAGTATTACAAGATATGTTAAAGGGATTTCCTTAAGTAGAATAGAGACCAAAAATATGAATCAAAATATAGGAAAGAAAAAAATTCTCACTGACAAAAGCTAAGAGTAAAAGCAGTAAGTCAACCAATTATAAAGTTAGTATAAAAGTTAAAAGGCAAACATAGGAAGATCATGTGTAATTACAACAATAAGTTAATACACACAAAAGAAGTAAAAAGTAATGGCAAAAACAAATGTGGAGAGGGTGAGTAAAAACTGTAGTGATTTTAGAATGTATTCAAACTTAAGTAACCATAAATTTACTGCTATAAACATAGCATATATGAAGCAACTGGTAACCATAAATCGAAAATCTGCAAGAGATATGCAAGAAATAAAGAGAACAGAATCAAAACATGACACTACAAAGAGTCATCAGCTCACAAGAGAATAGAGCAAGTGACTAAGAATGAAACAGAGAATACAAAAACAACTAGATGATAATCATTTTAAAAGTGGCAAAAAATACATACCAATCACAAATTTCTTTCAATGTAAATGGACTAAATGCTCCAATCAAAAAGCAACATTTGGCTTAATATATAAAAACACAAGACCTGTACATATGCTGTCTACAAGAGACCTACCTGAGATTGAAAGACACACACAGACTGAAAGAAATGAAAATAGATATTTCACGCATATGAAAACCAAACAAAAGCTGAGGTAGTAAACTCATATTAGACAAAAAAGACCTTATAATGCCTGTAGCGAGACAAAGAAGTGCATTTCATAATGATAAAGGGATCAATCCATGAGAGGCTATAACTCTAGTAAACATCTACACATCCAACGTAGGAGCACTTAAGTATAAAAAACAGCTATTGCCAGATGTAAAAGGAGTTTGAAAAAATAATCATAGTAGAGGACTTTAACACACCATTGATATCAATGGATAAATCCAGACATAAAATCACCAAGAAACAGTGGCCTTAAATGACACATTAAACCATCTGGACTTAATTGATATTTTTAGGACATTTCACCCAAAAGCAACAAAATATACATTCTTTTCAAGTGCACATGGAACATTTTACAGGACAGACCACATGTTAGGCCACAAAACAGGTCTCAATATTTAAGAAGATGGAAATCATCTCAAGCATGTTCTCCAATCACAATGATTTGAAACTAGAAATCAATTATAAGAAGAAAACTGAAAAACAAGAACTCATGGAAGCTAAGCAACATCCTAATAAAAAATGAATGGGCTAACATAACAAAAAGATCAAAGAAGAAATCAAAAGATATGTTAAGGCAATTGAAAATGAAAATACAATGACCTAAAATCTAGGGGATACTGCCAAAGCAGTTCTAAGAGGGAAATACACAGCAATACAGCTTACCTCAGGAAACAAGAAAAATCTCAAATAACCAAACCTTACACACAAAGAAACTAGAAAATGATGAACAACCCAAAGTGAGTATAAGGAAAATATAATAAAAGTCAGAGTAAAGATAAATGAAAGAGTATAAAAAAGAAAGAAAGAAAGAAAAAAGAATAGAAAAGGTCAATGAAACCAAAAGCTCATTCTTTCAAAAGATAAACACATTTGATAAGTCCTTAGCCAGACTCATCAGGAGAGAGAGGACTCAAGAAAATAAAATCAGAAATGAAAGTGACAACTGATACCACAGAAATACAAAAGATTATAAGGAAATAATAAGAAACAATTATCTGCCAACAAACTGTACAACCTAGAAGAAATAAATTCCTACAACCATACAATCTTCCAAAGCTGAATCAGAAGGAAAGAGAAAATCTGAACAGATAACTACAAATGAAATAGAACCAGTAATCAAAAAACTCCCAACGAAAGCCCTGTACCAGATCAGATGGCTTCACAGAAGAATTTTAACAAACGTTCAAAGAAAAATTAATATTCATCTCTCTCAAACTCTTCCAAAAAACTGAAGAGGGAAGGCTCCTAAACTCATTTTCTGAGGCCAGCAGTATCCTGATACAAAAACCAGAAAAGACTCTACCAAAAAAAAAAAAACAAACGTATATGCCAATATCTCTGATGAACATAGATGCAAAAATCCTCAACAGAATATTAGCAAACCGAATTCAGCAACAGATTAAAAAGATCACACAACTAGAGCAAGTGGGATTTTTTCCTGGAATGCAAGGTTGATTTAATATCCTCAAATCAATTAAGGTGATATGTCGTATAAACAAAATGAAGGTTAAAAATCATATGATTATATCAACAGATGAAGAAAAAGCATTTGACAAAATCCAACATCCATTTATGATAAACACTCTCAACCATATATTAAAAACACACCATGTATTAAAAACACCTAATTAATACATTGCAAAAAGCTAATTTATAGTTCTAATTATTCCTTGCTCAGAAAGCTCTCGGAGTAGGCATTATTCTCATACTTTTCTCCTACCTGTGCTTTCCAAACTACCAGTCAATTCTAAGCAACAATAAGCCCTGACTCAGGGCTTTTGTTTGATACATATATATAGCAGGTGGTATCTATATAACAAGTTTTCTGTG